CTGGGTATGGCACTCAGGTGTCCCAGCTTGGTACCAATGAGCTTTACCTGCTGATCCACCTTGCCAGCCCCATTTTCTTAATGAGTGCATGCTGGCTAGGTCTTCATCTGTGAAATGGGTGCAATGCAGGCTTGCTCATCCAGTTGCCATAAAAAGTAGACAGATAATCCAGAATGAGTGTGGCATGTGGGCTACTCCGGTATGATAAAATGTTGCCCCTCTTCACTGTGCCCAGACCCCTACATGTATTAACTTCTTTTCATCACCTTTTTTGGTATCTCGTAGAAAACACAAGGCAGTGCACAGACTCTTTGACGCCAACCTTGACAAAATATCACTAAATTAAAACAACAAAACCACAGGCAACAAAGCAAAAATAAACAAGTGGGTCTACCTCAAACCTAAAAGCATCTGTACTGCATAGCAAATTAAAGTGAAAAGAAAAGCACCTTGAAGAACGTGCAAAATACTTGGAAATCTGGGAAGAGGCTAATATTTGAACCATGTAGGGAACTCATACAATTCAAGAGCGAAGGAACCCTCGTGTTTACAGCGTACAAGTTACTGGAGTAGGTGTTTCTTAAAAAAAAGACACAAATGATCAATAGGTATATATGTATGTGTATGCTCATGTGTGTATGTATGTATGTATATAAAATGTACACTATTAATTAACAAGGAAATTTAAGTCAACACTAAATCGAGCTGCTAGCTCACATACCTCAGAAAGGCTGCTACTAAACAGACAAGAAATGTTACATTTGGGTGAGAATGTGGAATAAAGTGTGTAACATGAGGGGCTGGCTTGTTGGGGTTTCTGTATATAGTTGGCGGGAGTAGAGACTAGTGGAGTCATTATGGAAAACAATATGAAGGTGTCTTTAGAAATTAAAAATAGAATGGCCCTATGATTGGCTTCTGGGTTTATGTTCTAAGGAGAGGAAATAAAAGGTGTGAAGAACCATGCACAACTCCACGTTCCCTGCAGCATTAATTATAACCAGAAAGATATAGGGACAACCTAGATATTCATTAAAGACAGATGACTGGGTAGAAGAATTTGGCATATTATCCACTCATTACAAAGAAGACAATCCTGCCATTTCTGACAACACATGTGAACAAAGAGACAAGGACAGAACAATGAATACTTCCTAGTCTCACTGATGAGAAAAATCTAAGAATTGAGCTCATAGAAATAGAGAGGGATTGGTGGTTTTCACCTGCTGGGAGTAGAAAAAGTGAGGGCATGGTCAGAGAGCACAAACCTTGATACAATATGAACACATTCTAGGTTCTAATGTATACATGTTGTGAACATGGTTACTAAAAATGCTTAGTGTTTACTGGAAACTTGATTAGAGCCAGTCCTGCAGGTTCACACCTGTAATTCTAACACTTTAGAGGCTGAGGCAATTGGGCTACTGTAAGCTTGAGACCAGCTTAAGCTACACAGTGAGTTCTATAAATTTCGTTCTAGTCTGGGCTATAGAATTAGACCTTACCTCAAGAAACCAAAACAACAACAACAAAAACCTTAATAAGATAAAATGTTATCTCTCTTTGCTGCTGCCATGGTAACCTTAGGTGGTGTTGGATGGATTACATATAGACCATTGATTCTATTAGAACATTCGTGTTGATTTTGCTGAATACTTTTATTCACAGCCAAGCATGGTTGGATGTGATTGCATGGTTGTGATTCAAATATGATCTTAAACCTCGAGCATTAGTTAATTCATGTTATGACACTCAAAAGAAGCTGATTATCTCATTGATGAATATGGCTGCAGCATGAATTTTGGTTTTTGTTTTTATTCTCTGACTATTCACACATGTATACAACATCTCTTGATCCTATCCACCCCAAACTCCTCTCTCTCTCGGAAGAGAGAACTCAAACTAATACATGAGGGCAACTGAAATTTGGTTTGATTTTTCTTTAATCCGATCAAGATGATTCAGTAGGGAAAGGCTCTTACCATACAAGCTAGTGATATGCTGACTACAGTACAATCCCCAAACCCAAGTAAATGTGGAAAGAGAAAACTGACTCCATAAAGCTGCCCTGTGACCTCCACATGCACTCCCATACATGCATACGCATGCATACATGCAGACACCCACATACACCAATACTAAATAGTAAGGTGAATAAGCTTGTAAAAAATTACAAATCAGCCCATGTTTTATCCATTTCTTTGTATTCTGTTAGTGATTCAGACGCTACCTTCATTCTTCGTGCTAGCTCCTGCTTCAAGGAATTAATACTCTGTAAACAATCTAATAAGTGGACTCATGGAAATGTTTAATTAAGAGAATGGTTGGGAAGCAATTGGTGTGTGTGTGTGTGTGTGTGTGTGAAACAGGGTCTTGAGGTGCTCCCGGGTTGACCTCAAACTCACTGTCTTCTCTGCCTCAACCTCCTTAGTGCTGGGATTATGGCTGAGTGTTCCCATGCTAGAATCACTCTCTGATTCCCTGAGTTAAAATATATCTTTTTATTCCAGATAAGGATCAGTTGGAAGAGAGTAATGCCCACTGAAATATAGGAATCAATGCAGAATCTAAATTGTGAAAAAATCCAGGAACTTCCTGGTGTAGGTTCCTTGCATGATGATGCAAGTACTAATCTGACAGCCCTACTGCTCTGAGTTCCTGAGTGATGAGAAGCCCACTGAGGTGGGAGACCTCAGGCCATGCAGGTTGCTCAATCACTATGGACATCCCTGAAAATCCCTCTACAGGCGGAACCCTAGGCTGGAGGGAGGAATAGTGGGTGTCTAAGGCATGACACAGCCAGTAAGGTTTGTGGGGACCTGCTAAGATAGAGCCCCTGCCTTGCGTTCATCATAAATCTCTAAAGTAGATGAGTCCCTGGCTTGTTTTGGTGATGCGCCCTTTCTGTGGGTGATCTAGCCTCCTAAGTCTGGGCATAGGTGAGGGCACCTAGAGGAGGGACAGGACTCTCTGAGAGACAATGGCCGAAATTGCTGAACTACAGTTCTTGTGTTTCTCGGAATCCAGGAGACGTGGTCTTGATAACCCAGTTTGTATTTTGGTCTAAGGCCTGAACATTAAAAGATCTCCTCTTGTTTGACAGTGTCCTGCTGAAGCCAAGGAGGGCAAAGCAAGGTGTGCCATTTGGTGAAAACCTTTATGGAAGTTCAACTCACATAAGTGAGAACAGCGCAAGTGTACCAAGTAAATTTTCACAAGCCAGGTACATTCTGCAACCAGCAACCAGACCTAGAAACAGGGTAAGGGAAATGGAGAGGGGATGGAGTGTGAGATTGTAGTGGAGACAGGAGGGAGAAGAAGAATAAAAAGAAATGAAAGAGGGGGGAGGAATAGCATGAGTCAAGACCCTTTCTCATAACACTGCTTCTGGCTAGTCATAATGGCTATAGCACCAGCCCTCGGGTGACAGAGGTGAAGGAGCTTGAACCTATATAGCTTAATAACATCTTGATCTACAAGACCTTGTCTCAAACAAAGAAAGGAAGGGAGAGAAAGAGGGAAGGAAAGAGGGAGGGAGGAGGGAGGGAAAGAGGGAGGGAACGAGGAAAGGAGGGATGGAGGGGGGAAAGAAAGTTTCAGAAGGAAGGAGGAAGGAAGGAAGGAAGGAAGAAAGAAAGAGAGAGAGAGAGGAAGAAAGAAAGAAAGAAAGAAAGAAAGAAAGAAAGAAAGAAAGAAAGAAAGAAAGAAAGAAAGAAAGAAAGAGTGAGCAAGCATCAGCAGGTCAACCCTAGAGGCTACACCTTCCCCTTCCCCAAATATTGCCCACTGCCTTTCAAGTAGAGATTCAACTTTGAATTCTAAGTGGAACCAACATTATTCACTCTCTTGTGCCTGGCTTCCTTTGCTCGGTCTTATCTTTATGAGACTTTGCCATACAATTTTTGATGAGAACAGGAGAAGGAAACTGGACTGGCAGTTTAGGGTGGGGACTTCAAAAAAAAGTATATTTCTGCTTCTTATCCTTGACAACCAGTTCTGTCTTGGTCGGAAGTCAGAAATATCCTTGGTTCTTGGGACACTCTATCCTGGCCAGAGACCAGAAATATCAAAATTGTTTAGGGGCACTAGTGTGTGCTCTGACTTCTGGACTTTATCTTTCTTTTGCTTTTACATAGAAACTTAATGCGCACCACTGCCTGAAAGCTGTGTCTGACCAGACACTTCATTGCTCTGGATAATACGTTCAAAACTCCAGGGAAGAAAGGCACATGGACACCTCAGGGGTGGGATAACTGGACTGACCAGTTCACACCTGTCTTAGCTGAAGTTTTCCTTGCTATGATGAAGCACCATGACCTAAAGCATGAAATAAAGGATTTATTTCATGTATATTTCCAGATAACAATCCACCCCTGAAAGAAATCAGGGAAGGAACTCAAGCAAGGCAAGAATCTGAAGCAAAGGCAGTTGAGGAGGGCTGCTATTGGCTTGCTTCCTATGGCTTGGTCAGTCTGCTTTTTGTGGCATCCAGAACCACAAGCCTAGGGATGACACCACCCTTTATGGGCAGAGCTCGCCCACATAAATCACTAATTAAGAAAATGCCCTACAAGCTTATGGAGGCATTTTCTCAGCTGAGGTTCCCTACTCTTAATGACTCCAGCTTGTGCCAAGTTGATATAAAACTAGTCAGCACATCCCCCATGCCTCAATCCAGTAACACTTTTATTAACCCCTAGACAGGGATTCTTGGGGACACATTTTTGGGGAGATATCCCTGTAGAGCAGGACCTACTTTCTTCCTCTCTCTTAAGCTCTCACTTAATAACAAAACTCCTTTTTGAAACTCACCTTTCCATTTCCTTCAAGTCCTGAGGCAAAGTATTTCAAACTCACTCAGTGTGGTTTTGGTAGCTGATAAATGTCTGGGACCCCAGTCTCCAGACTTATGCTCACCTTAGGTGAGAAAGCCTCCATAGCTCTCTAGGACTCAAACATTTCCTTTTGAGCTTAACAGCTCCATCTTTTTCGTTGCTGTGTATATTCCTTTATGTATCACTGTATCTCTTCATTCTATGAGTATCTCTTCCACCGTAGGACATTCAGAAGAGCTTTTCCTAGACAAGCACCTTCAGGCTTCAAATCAAAGTTTGGAATCTTCTCTTTCTGGTTATCTTAATGAACTTCCAGTGGCGTCATGGCCTGATTGTCTTTCCAACAAGAATCACCTTTTAAAAATCACAGAAAACCACAGATTTGATCACATCCCCATCTGACCCCTGTAACTTGTAGTTTACAAGTTAGCCCTCTATGAATGGCCCCTTCTTGTATCCTGTTTATCCCACTTTGAGACATACAACCACTGTCTTCATTCTGGGATTCTGCCACCTCACTCTGAACATTTGGTCAAGTATTCTTCGGTGTAGCATCCTTTACTTCTATCTGTAATTGTCAGCAGCTGCTAACTCAGCGTTGAAGGCACAACTTACCATCCCAATTCTGTTTCTAAGGCTGAATGGCATCAGCAACCATTACCCAAGGCTCTGTATCTCCTACTGAGCACTGGGCAACCAGGATCTTCAGTTTTGCTACCAGCTTCTCTTTTTTGCTTAAGCATTTGCTTAATGCCTATAGACGTGAGGTTCTGTCACACTCCCTACATTCCATAGCTACTCCCTATCTATTCCAGAATGATAGTTATGGGACATTAAGTCTATCAATAGATAGCAGACGAAAATATATGCAAGAGAAAACAGAATATTAAGTAAAGAAGACCAAACGCTGTCTTCCTTGTTTTATTTATAAACAATAGCCTTTAGTCTAAGAATTTATCACAATTTATATCGAAACATGAGTTTCCTTATCTTCTACTATTCTTAGCACTTACTATGGCCTAGAGCCTTTTTTACTTGTGGGCTTAGGAAAAGCATTGCAATGGCACAATATATATGAAATACCTTATATGAAATTAATACAATCATATAAATCCAGAAATATCACTTCACCATTGCTACTGGTTATACACCCAACATCTCCTGTCAGCTGATCATATATTTTCTCTATGACTCCAGGAGAAAAAAAAAAACTAGCAGGATTCTCCCTAACTCGGTAAGGAAGAAATCGGAACAAACTCACGTGACATCCAGGAGATTTGCTGAGAATAATTCCGTGCAGACGACAGGATGTGAAAAGCAGTGAATTGAACTTAGAGTGATAAAACCTCATCATTTGTATCAATAATATCATCCATTTCTTCATCCTTTAGTATCCTTTAGGTGACCTCAAAATGGTCACCTAGAAAACAAAGTTCTATGAAAACAAAAGAAATTAAGAGTGGACTGGGGTTTCTATTGAATTTTAACTAGTTCATTTGTATGCTTCTTGTGTCCTAGGAGACCAAGTCAAAAGCAATGAAGAGCATAAAGCAAGAGACAGCTGGAAAAAAAAAAACCAACAAGTCTTGAAATGATCAATGTAATGTTTCATGTCAGCAACTGGAATTTTTTGCTGTGTTACCGTCTTGGCTGCTGACAGCATGATTTAATGACCCGGTGGTTGCATGAGTTGACATGGTAACGACGGAAAATGCCATAAATATCTGAGTTGTGGACGTGAATGGTATGTTTACATTGTGTGGGGTGTATTGTCGGACATGTGGTGGCTGTTGTCCTATCCAGTTGGAAACGTCTGGAACTGACAGCCATTTTTTAGAGTCATTTGGACTAAATGACTCTCAAGACAGACACTTTACTGCAAGCCCAGGACTGTGCATTTCTCTGTATATTTGAGAAATTAAACTGGGCATGTAATGGGCCAGAGAAGCTTGTCACAATTTGCCGTGTGTCATGAGCCACTTGGTGTTTCAGAGTTCAGACTATGTTTCTTCTGTATTCAACAGAGTAACGAATGATTTTATTCAGAATAGAAGCCACTATGAACTTTCATAGACTCACCAAACTCCAAATCTTAGAATTGGAAGATTTTTAAAAATTATTCCCAGCTGAATGACTGTCTTATTCCTTAAGTGATATAACAAAGACACTGGCATATTTGTGCTCGCAATGCTTTAAAGAAAGCAATGACAGCCACACCTTCCTTGTGCTTGGTTAATCTTTACACTTTCAAAGAGATGTCAAGTTTGGGCTGTCAAGTTTGACAAAGAAGGGAAGAACTGAAAACTGTGTTATACTGAATGCTGACTCCTCTGACAATCACTACAAAAACTGAGTTATCAAACAAGACTGACAAAAGCACAGGACCTCTTACCTGTGTCTAAAGATGAAACTAAGATCAGTAGTGCCCTAGGACCTGAGATGAGTGATTCTCAATGTGCTTTTTTGCCTTAAGAGAACTGATCCAGGTCGCAGAGATTGTATGGTAGGGTTGGATTCATAGATACGACAAGGCAGAGGCTTGAAATTGATGTAGAGAAAGCTTTGAGACTTAATAAATAACTTGTTCACTTGCCTTCTGGGGGCAGCATTACTGAATATATAGCTAACTTGCAGTAATGGTTTCCATATCCTGTAGCTCAGGAACAGGAAAAAGTGACTAGTTTCAGCCGTGTCTAACAGTATGACTTGACAAATGCTGGCTTTTGTTTTCTATAACCTTGGAGAAGTCATTTAATCTCATTGGATCTTGTCACCCCGTGCATTCATTCATTTCTGTACTCTTCATTCTTGAACAAATTCCATACTAAGTACTGTCTCCTACAAGAGACACAAAGCTTACTTGCTAACATGCTATCAGGAACCTATGTTACAGTCTTCCAGCTCTTCAACTGTGTCACTATCATGCCAGGGTCTTGTGTGTCAAGAAATTAAGTCAAACTCAGATGAGCGTTTTTATTGTAAACACTCTTGAGTTTGGTAGAAGCCGTATGAAGCCATCTTGCCAGGTCTTATGGGAGTTATAGAGACATTTTAGCCATAGTTATGACAGTTACAGGTGTGCTGGTGGGGCCTCGCTCATCTCCAGGTGGTAATAATGTGAATGGCTGAACCAAAACATCCAGCATGGATCACGAAGATCATCTCAGGTTTAGACATCACCTCAGCGTGTCCTTATTTGTGGACAATGACGTTCACAGACAGGCCACACGACCATGAATATAGGAAATTTTCTGGACCATGTTTGCATGTTGTTCCCTTCAGACCTTCAAAGACTATCAACTGTCTGGGGTGAATTTCTGCTGCGTAACTGAATTATAAACAATGAAAAGACTGCACATGCACACAACCATTCATTGCCATAGTTTGGACCAAACCATACTTTCTTTAAAGTCTTTTAATATCCCATGTATTTAAAAATGTTAGGGCAGAAAAAAATGTTAGGTGGAGGCGTATGTGTGTGCACATGCACACATTTGCATGTGTGAACACCGTGGCAAACTGGTGGGGGTCAGAAAAAAACTTTCAAGCCTCCTTTCTCCTTTCACTAGGAGGCTCCTAGGGATTGAACAAGCTCCACAGGTTTAGCGCAAATGCCTTCACCAGGTGAGCTGTCTCACCAGCTGTCTCTCCAGCCCTACTTCCTAATATCCAATTAATATCTAATATTTAATTGATAGCATCTAACTCTCCACTGGAGTCAGATTTAGCTGTCTTTGCTAAAAGCATTCTATTATTTTGATTTCTAATATTTTCTACATTGAGTATGGCGCTATCAGCTGTATTCTTAGCAGTGAATAGGCAGAAATAGAAGGGTGACGAGATAGAGGTCAACCTGAGATCTATAACAAGACTCTGTCTTAAAAAGAGAAGAAATGAAGGGAAGGAGAGAAGGAGGGAGGGAAAAGAAAGGAGGGAACGATCTTTGCTGAATGATTCTATTAAACTCAAATCATTGATGAATGGCATCTAAATCTGCAAATAGAAACAAACAGAAGCTGAGATGGGAGGTCTTAGACAGTGTAGTCTTTCTCTTCTTTGTTTTCTCTCTCACTTTAATCTTGGTTTTGTCGAAAAAGCAAAATATTGTCAATGAAGACTAGACAAATTTGTCACATCTTAATTTGATGGTAAAGAACTGCTTTCAATCACTGACCTTTATTTCTTTGTCTTGGGATCAAACTGTAACTAGGGAGCCTGTTTTCACAAGAAGTCTGAGAAAAAAGCGTTTAACCTCGTTGAAGGTGACGAGCGTTCTCCTTCCCACGCTTCTCAGGTATTGACATGTTTGGTTTAGAGGCCCATTCATCATGACCCAGAGGACTCATCCGTCACATGGAGATGGGGTGTTCATCCCCCAAGCTCCTAATTCACCTTGCTCCAAACTCAGAATTTACCCAGAAGCAGTAAAATATTTCTGTTATATACAATGTGACCATTTTTTAATTCCTTGTAACTATGACAGAGAAGACTCCTGTTTGCACTGACTCTTGTCCTGTAGACTGTCATTACTGAGTGTTTTCAGGTCAACACCCCTGTAGCTGACTGCTATGACTGCCCAAATGACAATGCTGTGGAAGGGCAGAAATGGCTTCACAGGTTAACATGGTGACGCATGTAGTAGCTATATGGAAAAATCAGATGCCACTAGAACAATGGTTCTCAGCATTCCTGTCGCTGTGACCCTCTAATACAGTTCCTCATGCTGTGACGACCTCAGGCATAAAATTATTCTTGTTCCTACTTTATAGTTATAATCATGCAATTGTTGTTAATCATAATTAAATACCTCTGTTTCCGATGGTCTTAGATGATCACTATGATAGGGTTGTTCAACCCCAAGAGAGATTGTGACCCACAGGTTGAGAGCCACTGCACTAGAAGCAAAACAAAACAAAAAAAACAAACAAAATAAAACAAAAAACCACACACACAGCAAGCCCAAGCAGAGCTTAATCTTGGTTTCTAGTATCATTCTCAAAAACAAAGAACTAGGGCTCCTGGAATGATGGCTGATTCTCAGACTGAGAGTGGTAGCCAGGTGAGTCTGTAGTAGCATTCAGTGCCAGGAAGCAGGAACACTCTCTTTGGAGAAGAAGAGGTTCTGACACAAGAAAGTTCATGGGATTCATGGGTAAACTGAAATAGCTCCCATGAACAAAAGCTGGGGTCATTAGAACATAAAATAATTGCTTGTGGGCTCAGATACATTTTAAAGAGATAGATGACTGACATATAGTAGATAAGTAAATGATAGCCAGCTAAATGGTGATACATTTGTATATATATATATATATATATATATATATATATATATATATATAATAGATAAATAATAGCTATCTAGATGCTAATAATGATGATGGAAATAGATACATTGATAATTGATAGACACACAAAGACAGATGATGGTAGATGATAGATAGATAGATAGATAGATAGATAGATAGATAGATAGATAGATAGATAGATAGATATGGTGTGGAAGAATTGTCTGTATTCTGTCAATCATGTTTTAAATAAAAGCTGATTGGCCAGGCAGGAAGTATAGGTTGGTTAACCAGACAGGAAGTAGAGGTGGGGCAATGAGAACAAAAGAATTCTAAGGAGGAAGCCCATTCCTCCAGTCCCGCCCAGACCACCGAAGAAGCAGGATGTGACCTGTTCCACTGAGAAAGGTACTGAGCCACGTGGCTAACATTGATAAGAATAATGGGTTAATATAAGTGATAAGAGCTAAGAAGAAGCCTAAGCTAATGGGCCAATCAGTTTATAATTAACACAGACTCTCTGTGTGATTTTCTCCAGGACTAAATGGCAGTGGGAACTGGGCAGGACACAAGCCCCCACAAGCAGGCCCTGCATGTTACATAGATAGATAGATAGATAGATAGATAGATAGATAGATAGATAGATAGTTGTAGCAGAGGCTAATATCCCATACCTTGGACTATGTAGAAGTTTCTCCTACAGAAGAAGCTACATGACTCCTTTAGGTGTGGGCTATATGTATTGACTTCTTTCCAAAGAATACAACATAGAAAGGGAAAGAAGTCACTTCAGAGTGATGGAAGCTAGTTGTGATGACAGGACCTCCTTTTGACATGATACCGTGAAACATTGTTTGATCGTCTTCTTCCCAAAAGCCTAGAACTCCAGTGTAAACATAAACAAAATGATAAAATGCTCTACAGGCCCCTCTTAAAAATATCAAGGTCATCTGAAATAAAGAAAGGTTAGGTAGGAGAGATGGCTCAGTGGGCATACTGCCTAGTATTTTGTTAACAGAAGTTGGAGTCATTGAAGAAGAGGGAGCTCGAGTGAGAAAATTTTCTTAGTGAT